CCCCACCACACACTGACCGAAACAGACAGCCTGAGAACTCCCTTCACCAGGCCGCACCTCAGCCCCGGCTCTTTCATCTCTGCGGGATGCAATGGCAGGTGCTGGGGTCCCAGCTGCACCAACATCCACGGCCTTGAGGGACAGCACCTGTGCATGGTTTGAGGGGCCCGCAGCACACGGAAGAACTGTGGGCAAACCCGCCCCAGCGACACGGGCTGGTTCCCTGGCAGACAGTGTCTCGGAAAGGCCGGGGGTGAGCCTGTCTCTTCAAGGAGCACAAGGGACAGAGTTTGTGGCAATGTTCAGACTGGTGCTCTCAAGTGACAGAGACAAATGGGTAAACTTTTATCTTCCACTAAAAGCTCGAGAGCTTCCCAAGCTTGCAGACTTTTCTGAGGAGAAAGTGATTTTCTGATACTATGAAACGAAGCGGGTCAACCTCAGACGCCCCGCAAGCGTCAGTGAGCCAACTCCTTCAACGTGGCCACCGCCAATGGGAGGAAACCCTGCCTGGGGCCAAGGCCGAGGCTCGGGCAGGCGCAGGGGTTTTGGTGAGGAGAGGGGGACGTCTGCTGGCGGCCAGCTCCAGGTTCTATGCTGCAGCCAGCCGCCAAGTGACATAGCTGGTCGAGTTTGGTCTGCTACCAAAGAACAGCCACGATAGTCTGAAAAGGCCATTAAAACACTTTCCGACTGTAGATCTGCACAGCACAGGCCTACACAGGTTTCAACCAAGACAACGCATCACAGAAGCGCACAGAACCCAGTGGTTAATTTCTATTAATCAGATGCTGAAGAGACCCTCAAACGTGCGAAACAATGCCACCTTCTCACCAAAACATTTTTGTATCAGAAAATAGTTACTTTTCATAAAACTGTGTTAACATGTGATGGGTTTATTATTGTTAATTTTATTATTTTTTTTTTTTGTCTTTTCCATGTCCGGCAACGGATCGCAACCCTCAGTGTTGCCCCCGTACCGGACCGGGGACCGACAATGGGATTGCAACCCTCGGTGCTGCTCCCGCGCCTCGCTCAGCCAGTGAGCGGGAACCGGTCTGTATGTGGGATCCGAACCCTCGGGCGGGAGCGCCGCCGCGCTTCCCAAGCGGCACACTATCCAGTGCGCCACCGGGCCGGCCCCCTATTATTGTTAATTTTAAATGAGTTTAATAAATGGATCTTTATCAATTTTAATTTCTGATAAGGATAAATATAGATAGACGCAGCCTGCATGAACAATAGCTCTTTGGGGCCCTCAGTAGTTTTTAAGGGTATAAAGGGATCTTGAGACCACAAGTCTGAGAACCACTATCCTGGGGTGACTCTGACGTGTAAAGATATATATTTAATGTGGACCCATTGGTGCTCAACCAGAGACACAGCTGTTCAGCCCGATGCTGGGGGAAGCTTGCATCGGTCTTATTGAAAGATGGTTCTGTTCTTTGTTTCACAGGCCATTTTAAGAAGTTATTCAAGAAAAGTGTGACTATTTGCGATTTCTGCCCCATCTGCTGACTTTAGAAGCAAACCTCTGAGGTCACGTGACTTCATCAGACATCTGCCAAGAGAGACTCCCCATGGCAGCAGAGGACACCGCCATAACTCACTACTAGGTAGCCCCACATTTAGCTGAGTCCTGTCAACTGCACCCCCAAAGTACTTCTCAATCCATCTCAGTCCTCAATACCTCTGCCTTGGTTCACACTCCCATAATTTCGTCTCTAGACAATTCAAGAATCCTCTCCCCTCCCCTCCATGACCATCCTCCAAGTCGCCCCCTCCCTGGGCAGTCTTCTTATGACACCCGCTTGCTCCAAAACCTCTGACAGTGCCCCACAGTCTTGGGGTCAAATCCGTCATCCTTGGCGCTGCGAAAGAGGCCACTTTCTTTTCCCACAAAACCCCGTCATATCGCAGTAATCTCTGTGTTCCAAGTGCCTAACCCATATCTGACCCATGATAGATGCCCTTACACATCAAGAGAATGAAGGAATGAACACAGAGCAGGAAAAGGCTCAGTCTAAACCAGACTCTAAAAAAAAAAAAAAAAAAAAAAAAACCCAGGGCCG